ATTTTTGTGATCAAGCTATATGTCACCTTCAGATAAATATATGCATCGAGTTACCTGTAAAGAAACGAATGGAGGAAATAAATAAATAATCCTCAGAGATACATCCAAGGAAGCTATGTTTTGCTGTGACAGTTGATGAGCATGCGGGTGAGCATAAAAGAGGCCTAACTTCACTGAATAAATTATTCTCTTGAATCTAATACCCAGCAAGAGGAAGGAAAGGAGAAAAATGGTGCAACCCGAAAAGAGATCAAATGTGGTTATTTAAATGTTTGATGTTCAGTAATGAAAACTGTTTACCTTCATAATTGTGTATTAGTAGCTAATAAAGGCAATAGATACAGTAGTTTAAAAGTAATAAAATCAACAACAAAGTGTATTTAATTTTAAATTGAATTGCAAGCAAATGGGTGTCCTAATGAACCCCTGTGTCAATGCAGCTCTAACCAAATTAAGTGAAATAACTTTCATCATGAGAAACTAAATAAGTACAAAGTTCCAAACAGACCATTCTTCTCAAGGAGAGAAGTTAACTTCTCAGATGTTTCAGCTCCATGAATTAGCTAGCACCATTCAAGAACCATCGTCTCTGATTTAGGACAACTGGACCCAAGTTGACTTGACTACAGCTGAGAGATAAAACTTCAAAGGTAGTTGACCCTGTGTTTCTTGTGTTCAGTCCTTAGCACTGGAATAGTTTCCTCAGTGCTCACTGGCTCTGGCTTAGGCATAAGTCTCATGTACATTGCTGGGACTAGCATCTACACAGACCTTCTGACTGATTCAGATATTGCCTGGGCATTTACATGATACAATCCTACTAGTAGAGGAATCTAGAAAACAGTTTGGCTGTGTACCAGTGGTAATTTTACTGATGTGTTTATATATATAAGTTTCAAAAAAACTCCCCAAAATGCACAGACAAAATCTGAATAGAAACTGATCTGTAGCAATGTGCCAGGAACTTGGAGACGGGAGCATCTTTTTCAGAAAAGGGGAATTTGAACTATATGTTACTGCGCTGTCATGTGTCTGGGATGAGTCTGGGATGTTTAGCATGATTGCAGTGTGTCTGTAATTTTATTGATAAAGAACCATGCTAGTTTTACAAATGTGGAGGCTTCTCATATTATCACCTAGCTTGCAAAGGAGGAAACAGGAATGAAACACTGGAGCTGAATTTTCCCAAAACAAGTCAGAAAATACTGAAGGAATGTTCCAGAATTCCAGAACTTCAGTCGAAGAAATGTTGGTTTTTGTTTTTTTTTTTTTTTTTTTTTAAATGAACAGCAAATTTCAGCATTTTCTTCTGTGGCCAAAAACTTAACTGAATATATGGCTTGGCAACCTAAGAGAGCCTGTCCACTGCTTGCCTGTGTTGTAGATGCCCAAGCTAATCCTGAGTTGTAACTGGGCATGATGCAGTGGTTTCTCCTTGGCTCCTTAGGACTCCTCTCAGTCTGCTGATGGCAGCTCCCTTGACCCCAGGGTGGCACATGGCTGGCCCTTGGCCACCAACACTCTGCTCAGCCTTCGGCTCCCGAGAGGCACCGCGTCTTTGCACTCTGCCTCCTGCCCCGGCTCCACCTGAGAGTGTGGCTGGAGCATCATCAGCACTGGTGTGGCTGGCTGACCCTCCTCAGCCTTTTAAAGTGGACTGTGGAAGCGGGAGCTGAAGTGTTTTGAAGCCAGCAGAACATCTACAGATGTTTTCACTTAGGACCATTTCTATTTGGATACTGGTGCCGAGCAGGGACAGTGGAATTGCTCAAAGTTCTGTGACTGCCGAAATATGTAATGGGATTGCCAAAGCATACAGCTTTATAGTGCTTATTGTAAATGACTTAGTTTTGCATTTGCTCCTGCTGTGCTCTAGGAACAAGGTTTTCTCCATTTATCAAACCGGGCCTTTTGTGTATCCTGTGCACTAAATAGGGCAGCATTGGGTTATCTAGTGTAGGGCTGTTCTTACACTATATACTGGTGTTCTCTGTTGCTACAGGGACCTCTCATTTTTTAATAAAAAAATAAATCTTTGAGTTGATATAATTACCCCCTCAAATTACTTTAACTATACAAGAAGTTAACATATGAATGCCAAGGAAGATGTGATGGTTCCCATGCAGCTGAAAATTTGTGTGTGTGTGTATACATAAGTATATATGACATATTTATATATAGTTTTTATCATATATAAAGTATTTTAGAATATTTATAAATTATATAAGAATTATACATAAATTTATGAGTATTTTTTGAAAAAAAAAGTTAGATTTTTATATACAATGTTTTTTCAGTGGTTTAAAGTAACCTAATACTCAAGGATCCAATGGTTTACAAAAACCTGTTCCAGTTTATTGAAGCTGTCAATCGGCCCTCAAAGTGTCAACAGAGGTGATGGCTTCCTACTTTAATATTCTTAACCCAGAACCTGAGCCCCAATGCCAGAAAGAGATGGTCATATACGGGCAGTGAAACTTTAACTTCTTTATGTTGACCTGTGGCACAGACTGACAAATATTGGTTGTGTTACTGGAGCTGTGACTACATTTTTCGTATGCCACTTTTTGAAGCCTAGCCATTTCTCTGCTTTAGCACACTCTTGTTTCTCCTGGGTGCCCTGCAAGGCTTATGATATATTCAAGAAAAACATCAAACTGTGATATATTTCTAATGGCAAGTGCTTTCTGTGTCTGCATTGTAGTTCATTACTTTACAGTTCTTCCCTCTTCCCTTTCTAGCTGCTGCAGAGTGGGAAGTCAGCCGTTGAAAACAGAGAATGGATGTGAAGAAGAAATGGTAACCAGCTTTGGTAACTTTGCAGATGTGAATACTGGAGCAGCAGGTGGGAAGGTGAGGTTATCTGAGTGCTCTTTTCCTTGATATGAACTGCTAAATGACTAGATCAATTATTATTTCTTTTTTTTTTTTTTTTTTTTTTTTTCCTTAGTTTAAAAGGATAGAATGTAGCAGGTTTCAAAATATGCTTTCCAGCAGAAGTAACCATACGCTTAAAGAGAATGTCTAAAGCTATTAATAATGAATCATTTGGGCATGGCAAGAGTTCTTCAAAACAGTTTGTCAGCGCTGGCCAAGCAAAGTCTTTCAGCAGGAGATGAGACAGCTATGCCACCATGCAAATGAGACAGACTTGAAATATGATGAATCTTCTATCTCCTTTTCCTACTCGACTGACACTCGCTTTGAGGAAGGTTGTAAATGCAAGAGAGATTGTGGTATAATTCCTCAGACTGGCGTTTCTGCCCCCCAGTCACTATTCGATTATCTTCCAAATTGCTGTGTTTCAGAGAGATAAAGATTTTTTATGGCTTGCTGACTTGAAACAACCAGAAGAGCCAGAAAAGAGATGGCTAACCGGCCATGCATAGTAATTCCATTGGTAAATGACAAAATCTTTGTTTGTATGACATTTCCAAAATTACTACAGAAGATGAATCTAAAATACAAAATGTCACATTTGGCATGCAAAACTATCACAATATATTTCAGTATAAAATTCATAGAGGCGTTTAATTTAGAATGTGTTTAATAACGAAGTCTGCCTGCATCAGTAATCCTGCCTTGAGGTTTAAAAAGATTGTCTTATTTATTCACATAATGTTAATTTTTTTTATATATGATTCAGAAACCAAAAATATTAAGGTTAAATCTTCATTGTTAATTAAGATTTTCTAATTAAGCTGAAAATAATTGTCATTCAGATTAGTTGTTAAGTATGGTTTGTGTTGAGAAACAAAAGAAGTTTAACAAATTCAACTGTTTATTTAACTGCTTAATTTAATTCCAGAAGCTTTCTATCTATATGGAAATATGCTATCTCTTCCAAAATAAATCCAAGACAGGATTAAAGAAGAGATTATTAGCTACTGTAGGCTTAAACTGTGAGACTACTAAACCTAGTAGTCAAGGTAGCCATTTGATTCTGAAATGTAGCATGGGTTCTTGTATCACATTGCATTAAAAGAAGACAACCTACTACTAGTGTTTTCTCAAAATAATGGAAGAAATTGATTCCTTGGGGGGAAAAAAAATTAAAATTATTGATGATTTGAAGCACTAAATAATTAGTTATTGCAGAAGCAATTTTACCCATTGAAGCCAACACTGGAGCCAAACTGGTACTCCTTGTCGTGTGCCTGACCTTGCAGATTGCATTTGGGCAGCGCTGAAGTACCTGTTGGCGTAGCGGGACAGACCCTACGCCTTTACTCAGGCAAGACTCACAAGGATTGTACTGCTGAGTCTGTTCCCCTCTGCCAACCTCGGCACTGTAAGCTGAGCATACAAGGAAAGCACCAGAAAGGCATTTCTGATACACAGCACAGCATTTATTCCATACTAAACATTCTGTAACTCAGACAACATCTTGTCAACAGCAAGCAGCAGATGTTTTCTTTTGTCTGGACTTGGAATAAAGGTGCCTGTAGGGAGCTGTTATTAAACTCTACACGTGCTGCACTTTGATTACTATTTTTAAGAGAATCTGATTATATGATAATCAGAAGGTGAAAGGATAGTCTGCATATTACACAGCACTAATAGCTTTGGCAAGGCTAATAATTAGTGTAAAAACATGGCCTGCTTAGTCTTTCACTCTGTGCCTGCAGCCTGCTCATCACAACATGTATTGTGCCTGTCTTGCAAAGCATGCTATATTTTTGATGGTGGTGTTTTCCAGCTAATTCTGCCTTATTATTGCAAACTAATGGCTTCTGGTGTCATACTTCAACAGCTCCACCTTCCCCCCAAGGATGCCAAACATTTTATTAGTAGTATTTGTATTATTTTTTTATCTGTCATCTCTGTGACTTTTGACCTCCTTAATTGCAGATCCTCAGTTAGCTATAGGTAATTGCAGGTTGAACAAGAAGCATGTTGTCTGCTTTTCAGTAGTTATTTTCTTAAAGAAATTTGTTCTTGCTAATTGTATGGTTAAAGGCAGCTCAACCCAGGTCAGTAACTCAGAGCTTTCTCCCTAGGTTGACTGCTCCAAGACACCACAGCTGATAGAAATTCACATCAAATGCCTCAGGGGAGTCAAAGATAAGGTCCCAAAAGGCCACTACACCCTCAAAGTTTCTGTTCTCAGCTGCTTAGGTGGTGGCTTGCTGGAATGGCCCAAGCTGAAGGAGCAGCCTCAGGCCAGGACAACGCTGCCTGTTAGTCACAATGGAAACTTCTACAACACTGAAATCTACTTTGGACAAAGTATCCAGACAGTAAGCAACACTTTTTAAATATGCTGTCTTTGCTTTGAAAGTTAAAACACATCCGCTCTTTCTCCTTCAGGCTTATATATTTAATGCATTCCATCATGTTCATAATTTATTTAATAATTTAAGGTGCAATTTAGGAAGGTGCAATTTTTTTTCCCCTAGGTTAACCCTCATCACTCACTCTAAAAGTGCCAAATATACACTACATCATATAGTGTTGTCAGCTAATTTTAAATTTTACTTTTACTCTCTCTTATCTATGTAGTTTGTCAGCTATGTAATTTGATTTCTGTAAAGTAGCTTTAGAATAATAAATGAATGAGTGGGTGTATATAAACATATGAATGCCCAAATCCGTCTGTGAGTTTTTAGCTCCATTGACCCCCATTTGCCAAAAAAGCAGCATTTGGATTATTTTGGAAGGAGCCCAAACACTTGAGGCTCTATTCTGTCTTTTGCGACTGAGGCACACATATTTTCCTGCCTAAGCATGCTGTGCGTGGCAGGATTGTTGTGTGTCAGTTGCTCGCTGTTGTAGCTAATGCCTAGTGCTGGTTGCAACATTGGTCTCAGATAAAGTTTCTGGCACATGAAAGCTTCTTTACGGTTTGAAAAACAACCTCTACCTCTCTCAGTTTTTTTTTTTGTTTTTTTTTTTTTTTTCTTTTGTGTGTGTGTGTGTGTGTGTGTTATGAAGCATTGGTAGAATGAGAAGGAGATCCTTTTCAGTTTTCAATTATTCATTTTGCAGTATGACCTGAAAGATAGATTTCCTCCTCCACCCCTTCCAATGTGCAAAGTGTTGTGTAGATACAGAACAGACAGGCAGTCGCTATCCCAAAGAGCTTTCAGATAAAGCAACTTTTATGTATAGCCCTGATGCTTTCAGTCATTTGCAGTTAGGTCATTTCAGCTATTAGGTTTGTGATATATAAAGTGCTGTTAAGTCACATTTTCTGCTTTTTAATTGTTTATCATCTGTAATGGATAATGAACAGCGTCTGTAAATACAGCTGTTGGTATGAAAAGAATCACATATACATAGAGAGAAATTGTGAATGTGACTCTCACATGATGTTGAAAAAAAAGCATGTGTCTGTTAGAGAAATCATTGAACTGGGATTCTTCCCTAGGCAGGATACATGCATCCTGCTTACTGTCTCGAAGGCAAAGTACTGTCTTCTCTGAATGCACTGAAAGGAGAAGACTATGGGCAGTAAAACTGAACAACTCCGGCATGCCTCGCCTCTTGCTTTCAGCATCTTGTTTCTCTTGGGTCTTGCCTGTTGCTTTTGCTCCTACCCAGGGGATGTTCCTTGTTCAAAACTATGTATCTCTGCTCTCAGTACTGAGCAAGAGCTAGTTCAGATTGACCCATCTTTTGTCCGGTTGCTCATCAATGCAAAAGAACTCCTGTCCTCTTTCTGTTAGTCTCTACTGGGTTGTGCAGACACATCAGTAACTGCTTAGAGATGGCCGTTATGCCTCATCCAAAGATCTGAGAGAAATGTTTGGTAGTTTTCCTACTTTTCCAGGTTCGTTTCAAAGTCATCTTTGAGTCTCACAAAGGATATTTAATTAGCATTTTCACCAAACTTCATTTTAATCTAGTGAACTAGAGTGCGGGTCTTAGGCAGGTACACTTAAAATGCAGGACCAGGAGGAGAAGTTAGATTAAATGGCCTTCTGAAGATTCCCTGTCTTCATTACTGTATAATGGACAGCAAAAGCTTAGCATCATAATATTAAAGAACCTCCTCCACCAGCTCATTTTGTAGGTGGTGTAGCATGAATGATTCTACCTTTCTGTTCTTCCACCTTAGTACGTTTCAAAAGAAACCCTTGCGATCTGTGCCGAGATGAGGCAAATTTTAGGCTTCAGATGGTTAGCATCTACTGCAAAACTTAGCATAAGTAGTGAGGTCTTAGTGGTGATCTCCAGATGAGTATCTGGGTTTGAACACAATCTTATATGCGGCACTGCTGCCTTGGGATAGAGTACGGGGTGGTGGTGAAATACCAGTGCTCACAAATGAAGAATAAGCTTTTGTTTCCATTGGCTGGAATAATGATAGGAGTTCAGTGTAAACATGGTGAAAATGAAGACATGCATGCTTGATATTGAAGGAAAGTTTAGTTTTAACTAATATATTAGAGAAATTGTTCCAGAACACTACATCCTTCCAAAAATAATAACCCTGTCATGTCGGCAAAGTTGGTGTCAGCATGGGTTACCTGCTGCGTACAGAAAGTGCTGGTCATGTAAGTTAGATCTGCCTCAGGGCTAGTCTGACTTGCACACCCGACCTTTCAAAAATGTTTTTTGTTCATTAATCAATGTTCTTTGCTCCAGCTTGCCAGCTTCCCTTCTTTCCCCTCCTTCACTGTCCTCCTTTTCAGTTTGTCAACCTACCTCCCCCAATAACCTCTGACTACATGTTAGATAGTGGCTCCTAACAACACCAGTTGAATTTTATTTGGCATTCGGTAAGTCCAGACAGTCACATGAGTAGTTATTTTCCTTAAATTATGCCGGACAAAGCATGTATGAATGCTTTGGATTGCGATAAAATGCAATTGCTGTTTCAAATGACGCTTTTCAATTTTAGGTGTAGCAACTAGCAGCATGATCTAAAGGCGAATTGTTTTAGACCCAGCATTTCAAGGACGTTTTCATATATTTAGTTTATGCAAGGAAACTTTAGATTTAGATGGGTTAATGATGTCTGGTTTACGTGCAGCAAGAGCTATTTTTAAGCTCCACCTACATTATAACACAAACGGAACGTGAACTCAAGCTGAGATTCCAAAAATGCAGTAGGTTAACTCTGACAGTAATGAAGCTTTGTTCTTCAACTTTCAGTACACTCTTGCACTGCCTAATTTTTCTTGGGTCTGGAATGAAAGTTGAGTAAGGAGAGGCTAGGAAAGGAGATGATATGTGTATTGTGCATGTAGTAAGGGAGTTATGCAATTATATTGTCTTTGGCAGTGCCTGCATCATCTTTACACTAGACCAAGGATTTTACTAGTATAATTTCCTTATTGCTGTCTCATGGTGGCTAAGATCCTACCATAGATAAGACCTAAGTAGTCAGTAACCATTTTTCGTTCACAGTGTATTTAAAGCAGTGTCGTATTACTCCATAGGATCCATGTCCCAGTGTTAGCAAGTCCAGATTACTTTTTTCAGCTTAATGATGGCTTGGAAAGCCCAAATAAGTTGCAGTATGTCAAAGTTTAATTTCACTCAGAAAAAGAAAAAGTGGCTTTTTTTTTTTTTTTTTTTAATCAGCTTAAGTTAGTTCAGTAAACATTAAAATAGTTGTATGAAAGAATTACGACAGTAAGAACAAATCCTTACCTTTCAGAGTCAAAATACTCATTGGCTTCGATGAAATCAAAATTGGAGTGTGGCTGAAATACTTCTCTTCTTTTAAAAAATTGTTTTCAGCCATAATTTCAATTATCAGGACCAAAGCATTTTGTTGTACATTGCAAGTTTCACCTACTAAGAGAAAGAACCTTTAAGAAAGATGCTGCTATTTCAAGCATTTGTGATAAACTATAAATATTTCTGGAGTGCTTTTCCAGAAAAAATATTGCGTATTAGGAAGCAAGGTTTTGTTCAGATGGGGAAATTCAGATAGGAAATTTTCAGCTATTGTGAAGAGAACTATAAGCCAATGAGACTGCCTGCAAGTGACATTTAAAAAAGCTTCATCAAGCCATTTAGTCACCTGACATGTCAGTCCAGCACTGTTGAGGAGAAGCAGGGACAATCATGTCAGTGTTGGGCTCCCCAGACTGCTTTTTAACCCCAGTCCTGCTGCACCTGTCTTTATTCTGCATCGGTCCTTATTCTGTGCCAGCCTTCCAAAATTGACACTTCAACAAAAAAAATGTGAGCTCCAGAAGTATGTGAGCACTGGTGCTGTGCATTTCCCCCAATGTACCTGGAACTCAGGATAGCACTAAATCAGTTCATATGCATATAAAGCCACCATTGCTGACAGAACAGTTCACAGATCTGTAGATTTTTAAAGAGTATATCAACTGGTTAATATTTATGTATCAGTGTGGAAGGTACTAGCAATATTATAACAGTGGATGGGTACCATTTTGTTTTACTTGAGGGAAATTCAATATGAATAAAACAGCAACTTTTCAAACATGACATTTAATCCACACATGTAAATCATACCAGGAGATCTATTATTCATTATTAAAAGGGCACCATATTTTTATTACACTGAAAATGAAACACAAATGCTGTGAAAAATTTAGTGCCTTTTCCTGAAGTTTCAGGACACTTATCATGCAGTCATCTAGCAGGGGCTGACAGTCATTTTAAAATATAGCTACAAAATTAATAAATTTGAACTCTTTTGCTTGGAAAAAGAGGATGTTCTATTTCACTGAATAAGGTGGATTTATTTTTTATTTAAGACTTCCTAAATACTTAAGATGGCAAAGTACTTTGTTAATGTTCACATTCAGAATTAGATACATAACGAATAAAGTTCATATCTTTGTTGTTATTAGTCATTTCCAACATTTTCTTCCCTGAAGTGCATTTTGAAAACTACATATATCAGAAACTGATTAACATGACCTAAGGTATTAATTCTTAAAATATGATGAAACAAACAGTTTCAAGGACCTTATTTTCTGTATGTCAGCAGCTGTCTAAGGACTGTGATACTTTTAGTAATTACAAAACAAGGTATCATTAGGCAAAGTAGAGCACAAACTTTCCCCCCGCCTTTATTTTATTCTTGAGCAAAATCCTGGCACAGATGAAGAGCATTTAGCTCTAGGACACTTTATAGGACATAACATAAGAGTTTGATACACTATGAAAAAAGATAGGAAGTAATAATACTTAGCAGTGCCAGAGGACTTTCAAAATGAGAGCCACTTAAATTTTCCCTGGATGCAATTATTTGTAGTTGGGATGATAAGGTGCTACGTGAACCTTTTGATAAATGCAAGAACTAAGC